CTTCTCCGGGTCCTACTGTTCTGCATTATGACAATCAAGCTGCTCTTCACATTGCTGCCAACCCGGTGTTCCATGAGCGTACCAAGCACGTCGAAATGGATTGCTATTTCGTTCGTGAGCACGTCTCTTCTGGCGAAGTTCTTCCTCAGAAAATTTCTTCTCATGATCAACTCGCCGACCTATTCACTAAAGGTCTCACTGGTGATCATTTTCAGGAATTGTCGTCCAAGCTGGGCATTTGCAACCTGCATGCCTCAGCTTGTGGGGGAGTATAGGATTCCTGTCAAATCCATACGTAGTCGTTTTTCACTAAGGGTTAATTAAGTCTTTTTCCCATGTGATGGCCGAACCCTAGCTGCTAGGTGATTAGGGTTTTCGGTTTTATATACAGGTACTTGTATATGGCTACGTATGAAATAACAAGCTGAGATAGCAAAACTTCTCCGTGGAGTAAGCTCATTCACATCGAATGAGAAGAACCACGTAAACACTGTGTCTTATTCATCGTTTTAGTTTCCGCGTTCATACAAATATTTCATAGTTAGCTAACCATGGTCGTTTTCGCCATATCTTCGACGACATAGGCACGAGGGGATCAGACGGCAATTAGCTCAAGGAATAACGACCCTAGTAACTCAAGTCAAGGTCTAACCACAAATACTAGGTAAGGAAGCCTGACCCCTTGCGTCAAAATCGACATTTATGTGAGTTATACGAGTTGTAGAATTCTGGAAAATTAGTGACCGAATTGCAGGTGTTTGGTGACGGTTCAGTGACCGTTGCTTAAGGTCGAGCTATGAGAAATAGCCGCAGCCCTTTTGGGACGAGCAGTAATAGTTCACAGTGACCGGATCTTGGATCTGTCACTAAAAGCGATGTATCAGTTGTCATTTAATCTCAAGTTACTAAACATCAGTTAGGCGTGATCATTTGGAATAAATTGTAAATTGATAAATAGAGAATTTATGAATAACTGCAATTAAGATTGTTAATAGGTAATTTAGATTAGTTGTCAATTTATATATATATATATGGTTCAGGCTAGCGTACGTCAGTCGTACATTGTACGCCCGTCGAGTTTTACTATTTAGAGAAGGAATTAACCGAAATTTGGGGCATGATATATATATATATATAATAACGGTTCCTTAAGCTGGTTAGTATATTAATCTAATTAATTTAAGTTTAGTTAGCAAAATGTTAGTTTGTCCAGTAGAGTAATATGATAAATTAAATTAGACTGTAATATGCTAATTATTGTGGTGAGGAAGGTCTGATTGACCAAGTTAAATTATGGATAAGGTATTAATTTGAAGGGCTAATACCACTAGAAAATCCGAACTATTAACTTTGTGACATTAGTGTCCTAAAATATCCGATATGACATTTGTGTCCCAACGTATGATAGTTGTGTTTCATTTATGTCCTGGCGATTTCGTTGATTGTTATAGATGACGTTTGACCAGACGGAAGTCAACTTTACCATTGACTTTTGTTGACGTGGCAGCCACATAGATGCCACGTCACTGACACATCATATTTTTAATCTAAAAATAAATCAAAATTAAAATAGAAAAATTACAAAATAAAAAATAATTAAGAAAATAAAAAGTCTGTGTTCTTCTCTCACTATTTGCTTCTCTCTCAAAGATTTTCCCAACCCAGAAAACCCCAATTTCGACAATCTGTGCGCTAGCGTAGAAAATTCAGGCAATTAAGCACGAGATCCACCGACGATGATTATTCCTACTCCGGCGGAACAACGAGGGCTTTGTCCCTCATCCCTCTCTTCGACGACGACAAGCGCTGGATATTTCCATTACTGATATTTGCAAGGTCGAGAGAAAAATGTTTCCCAAAGTCAGGAAGCTTCTCTTTTTGCTGGGTTTTTTTTTAACCCGACAATCAAAGAGGGGGGAATGGGGTTTATACTTTATAGAAGTGGGTTTAGTGAATTAGGTGGTGGGTTCAACTCCACTACAATTGTTGCATTCGGTGACTAAAAGCACTGGCCGCGGAGGGAGTTGGTCTGAGATTGTTGGCTCAATTTTGAGATTCTTAGTGAAGAAGGAGGAAGAAGAGATGGTACAGTGATCTGGGAAAGAGGAAGAACAGAGAGAAAGAAGAGAGAAAACGAGAGCAGATCAGATCTGGTCATCAGCTCCGAATCTCCCCTACTGGGTTGCGCGATAGGCTCCGATTTAGGTATTTTGCAGGGTATGGATTTGAGAAAGAACCCGAGACAACCTTTAGGAGCTTCGATGGAGGAAACCGTATATGAAACAATTGTCCCAGTGTTGTTCCGTTGTTCCTCTCTTACTTCTTTCTTCTTCTTTGTCTTTGTCTTCGACGAGTTGGAGGTATTGGAGTTTCCTTCCCGTCGGGGATGTTCGGCTTGGATCTGTTCGGTGGAGGGAAGGATATGTTCGGCGGAGGGAAGGGGAACAAATTAGTTTATTCGACGGCGAAGGACTAGTGGGAGGGGACAAGGATTTATGCAACGTATGAACGGTGGAACGGTGGAGGAGGATCGTGGATTTTTTTTTTTTTTTTATCGGGAGGAGGATCGTGGATATGAAGTGCCAACAATAGCGGCGGTGCGACGCGATGAAGGGTTGGAGAAGCGGTGTCAAGGGAGGAGAGAGGAGACAATGAGATTTCTTTTTCTTTTAATTTCTATAAGTATTTATTTTTTATGAAAAAATAAATAAAAATAAATAATAAAATTCCACGTCAGATGCCACATCAATGCTGACTAGACTTTCTGTTTAAAACTAACGGTCAACGCTAGTCAACTCTAACGGAAAAATAGTTTAGGACACAAATGTCATATTGGATACTTTACGACACAAAGTTAATAGTTCGGGTTTCCTAGTGGTATTAGCCCTAATTTTAACCTACCAAAATTGTATGAGAAATTAACCTAATGATTGACATCCTAAGCTGGTTAATAGATTGATTGGGAGGAATTTAAGTCAAATTGAGGGATCCTTTGTCGCAAGTAAATCCAATAGCGTTTGAACTAGCCCGGTGATTTGCAAGCATTGCAAAGTACTCCACCGCATTAAATCTGTCGCTAAGAACCCATAAATTCAAACGATCTAACTTCTATTTCACTATAGGATCACAAGCGCGAATTGCTTCTTTTAGAGCAAGGATCCGTTGAGTGAAGGCAATATCATTTTCACGCTACTTGACATAATAAGGTGCGCGGTTTGAGGGGGCATTAGTTAGTATTCCATTCTGAATTATGAATAATGCATGTTACTTGGATTAAATGATTTGCTCTTATGTGCTATCGGTGTTTAAGTTTATGCATTTAATGATTCACGTTCAAGTTATGATATATGATTACTATGCACGTTCAACATACATAGGATCGTGTTCACAAAGATTCAGCTAAACCCAAGTTGCTAAGTTAAGCAAGTTATTAAGATGGATCTTCCCATTGTGTGGGAAATCACCAAGCTCTTCAAGTATGTAAGCAAGTATGGCTTAATTATATTTCTCCTTGGGTGAGAGATTCATTAAGGCAAGCATGTATAAGTCAACAAGTTAATAAGTAAGAACAAGTTAACGTCGCTTAGCTAGCCACTTTTCACGATGGATCACTACTAGACGATGATACGTAATGCAGTAGTTGATCAAGCATGAAACTGGACGACGATACGTAACGCAGTTTCCATTGCCCATGTTTAGGTAAGCAACCAGACGGCGATACGTAACGCGGTTGGCATACCTCAGTTTTGACACCAAACGGCGATACATAACGCGGTGATCATAACTCATGTTAAGCAAGCAGTGGCGCCAGCTAAGTCGAGGTAGGGACCGCGTCATAAGATAAAAGATGCAAGATACCCATAATTATAATTCAAGAACTAATAATGTACCTCTAATAATGTACTAAGACAATGCATCATATTTGCACCCATATGCATGTTGCTTGATTTTATATTATATATGTAAAGAATGGAATATAGGATTAGGACTGACCCCAACGCTAGGGATGGCAATGGGGCGGGTTTGGGGCGGGTTTGTCTAAACCATCCTCATCCCCATCTTCAAATATTCAAACCCATACCCGCCCCATACCCATGCGGGGGAATGTTTGGCAAACCCATCCCCATACCCGTGGGTTTCGTGTACCCATGGATAATACCCGTACCCGTACATCCAACATTATTATCTTAAAATTTACAAGAAAAGTTTTAACTACAACTCTAAACGTACCTATTATATCACGAATTCAACAAAACACGATCATTTTCAAAGAATATGATCCTAAAATATTTGTTAATACATAATATAGAGTATAATATTTTTCAAATTATTATGTTTAACTCTGATACATCTACTAAGTAATAATTAACTAACATAATCTTGTTGACAAGAGGGAAAGTGAAAGAGTGAAAGGAGAATTGAGGGAAATGAATTAGGTTTTGATTAAGATGGTCACTCAATTGCATTTCTACTATTTATTTCCTCGAGTTATCCTCATCATCATTGATAGATTACAATTTGATCCACATATTTTTGTATATGTGAATAAATTTTCTTGGTGGGGCGGATATGGGTATGGGGCGGGGGAGGCTAAAGACATACCCTCCCCATACCCATCAATCTTTTTGCAGGTTTTACCCATACTCGCCTCATACCCAGTCAAAGCGGGGATTACCCACGTTGATTGGGTCGGGAGCGGTCGGGTACCCGCGGCCATGGGTTTGATTGCCATCCCTACCCAACGCCCACATTCAGGAGCTGTAAGCAAGCAGGAGTATTCGGACCAACGACTAAGATAAAGTTGTTGCTCGAGATGTCATCGTCGCAAGGGTTAGTGATTTCAGAAGTTTCCAAGTGAACCACTTTCACTTATGTAATCTTATTAGTAGGCTTGAGACTGATGCTCATTTATGATTTTGTAACGAGATATTCCTATGGTGATTTGAAATTATTTTATGATATTTTAATCATTCCTTTTGCTTTAAATAAATTTTGATTTCTCGAGAGCAATTTGATAAAAATAGTACTAGGGCGGGCTAGGGTGTTAAAAAACTCCCACACAAAAACAACAACAAAAAACCTAGCAAAACAGAAAACAGAGCTTCATTATACATATCCAAGAGAATCAATGGGGCTGTGGCTTCTCCTCCTCCTCCATGAGAATGAATTCTCATTCATGGTTGAGGGCGACAGCATCGAAGCGCTCAGCAAGATGGCCTATTGCTGCTGCCTCCTCTCTTCTCTGCAAATCATCAAAGGCAAGATCGCAAAATTGACAACTCGTAATTGAAAACCTAACTATTTCCTAATTAGAAAAACTCTCTCTGATGCAAATTAGCAGGGAAGGGAGGAGGGGACCACTTACTTTGATGGCCGATGGGTCGAAACAGCGATACCAGCGAGCCTCGCACTGCTTGGCGGATTTACGAACGAAAAGCGCACTAATGCGTTGCCATTGATTGTTCTCGCCGTACTTGCCAACCAGCGCCTGGAGCAGCGCGTCCTCCGTGCTTATCCACTCGTTCGGAGCAATAACCATTGATGCAGCAGAGTGGCGAATCCAACAACAAAAGCCGATTTGATTTGGCGCTATTACTCTCCACCAACAACCCTACCTCGCTTCTTCCTTCCCGGCGCAAACCAGAGAGCTCTGTTTATATAGACATGGGTTTAGTATGATTATTAATACGGGTATTTATACTATTTTCTCATGATTAAAAAAAACTCCAAAGTGAAGTGGTAGCAAGGTTGTCAAACCGGTTTATGCCCGTGTGCCGGTTTAACAAGTGAAATGGTTTGACGGTATGTGCCATCGGTCAAACCATTCCACTTGTTAAACCGATTTGTGCCGGTTCATGCCGGTCAATATTACAAATAAAATTATAAATACTCATATTTAAACATGACATTTAACGTCAATACCTAAACATTTATACTTGAATCCAACAAATAACATCAATATTTAACTTTTATACTCATAAAATAAATAATAATAAAATAAGGTCATTTTACTTAAAGATTCGTATATCGATCATGCCGGTCAGACTGGTGGTGTCATGCCGGTTTTATGACCGGTATCAGTTGAATCAGGTACAACAGGTGGCACGCCGGCCGACGTGACAACCATGAGTGGGAGTGGATAGAGTGCTAAAACACCATATTAACACATTTATTAAGGGTATTATAGTATTTTTCTTTTCTCCTTCTTCTTTCTATGGACTACGGGTGGGCACGTGGGTGGTTAATTAGTGGATTGATATCGATTCACTCGTATATAACCCGACCCGCACACTGTGGGTGATTGATGTGAGTGGATTGCGGATTGATAAATCTCTCATCCACACTTATGTGTGTGGGTGGTGACTGGTGAGTGGGTTGCGAGTCATTCGTATGACCCACATCATATTTTTACATGAAAAATGTTGTTTCTTATAGTATCGAATATTCATCATATTTTCGAATTGTACTAGAGTCTGACTATATACTTCAAGAGATGGAGAATAAAGAATAGTTTTGACTACTATTATTGGTTATTGTGTTGTGCAATATTCATTAGATATTGAACATTGGTATGCAAATTATTGTTAATATCCATTAAATATTGGGATGCAAACTATAAATTATTAATTGTATCAAAATCACAAATTAATGAATTATTGATATAGTCTTACTGATTTGCTATGAACGTATTATAAAAGTTATTCGACTTTCTTAATGGCTAGTTGGAGAATTGATTTTGCGAGTTGATCCGCGACCCAACCGCACCCATACGCCACCCACCCAACTCAACCCGCAGAAGTATGTGGGTGGATTGTGGATCACAATTATTTCAACTCACTAGTAAGCGAATGGGTCAATTTGAGACCAAAACTCACCTAAACCGCCCATTGCCGACCCCTACCCCTTCCCCTTCACTTCCATTTACGTAGCTTTTCTATGTTTCATTTACAAATTAATATTTTGGTACCTAAACTTAATAGGTATTAATATTTAATATCAAAAATTATTTCTTTTACATTCGAGTCCTAAAAATATCGATGGAAAATTATATTTTAGTACTTAAAAAAATTTCCCTTACATTTTGGTACCTAAACTATTTCAAATTTTCAAACAGGTCCACTACTTGTTGCATGCTTTAAAAACTTGTGGCATGCTTTGAGGTTGTAGCATGCTTTGAGGTTGTGGCATGCTTCGTGGTCCTCCTTCCTTCCTTTCTCCCTTCCCTAATTTTTCATAATATCAAGTGCGCCCCTCCTTCCTCTTCCCCCTCATTAATTGTGGTCAACACATTTAAATGGAAAAATCATCTAGACGAAATGTTCTGATTGGCGGAGCTAGTGTTAGCACCATACTAACAAAAAAAAAGTGTTAGCATCCTAACTCCTCCCAAATGATGTGGGAAGAAGAAAAAAGAGAAAAAGGAGGTTCACTACGTTAAGTAAAGTTTACGCAATATCAATTTATTGTTGTTACGTAATATACAAGTACGTTGCGTAAAGACTACAAAACAATAATTATTTTTCAAGTTAGATATGTTACGTAAAACTTTCGTAGTGACTTAATATTTTGTGTAACACAACGTAATATCCATCACGTAAAATGAGCGTCCATTACATAAGGGTTACGTAATAATATCATTCAACAATTATTAGTTACGATACACATGGATTACATAAAGGCTATGGAGCAATAATTATTTCTTATGTAACATATTGACATTGAGTTACGCAGACCTTCCGTAACGGCCTTACACCTTACATAACTCGATGTTCAACTTCATTATGTAAAATTTGTCAAATGTTACAGAAGATTTACATAATACCGTTTCTACATTTATTACGTAAGATAAAGTTTTAGTTTATATGTTATATATTAAGTAATGGTGATGGCAGAAACAGACTGGAAGAAAGGTGTCTATTTTGATTCCGAGGTAGAGATGCTTTATCCAGAGACACCAGTTCAGCTGCCTAAACCGATAGCTCCGTTGACATGGTGTAATAGCAGAGCTCGGCTAAGATCATTGAGAAACCATTTCTTTTGTTGTTCTTCTTTCGCTTCCCTTAGCCAACTTGTGTTTTCTTCATTTTGCTCAAGGGTAGACAACAATTCTACAGTACTACAAAAGTTGGTGAGGGGGACCTCACTTTCATTTAACAACCAACTAATCAGATGATCTTGCTCTTTTCTTTTGTTCTTTTTCCTTAGTATATACAACAATTTTCATTCTACAAAGATCATTCGAATGTCCATCCTTCATCCAGTTTCAAAATACCCAAGAAAAAATACCCTTTTCCATGAGGTGAATGGAAGACTAGTAAGAAGAATACATTAAAAAAGCCTACAAGGAAGAAAGTTAAACAAGCAAGCGTGGAGGAGTTAGATTACAAACTAGAAACTTCTTTCAGTTCTGAGCCCCGTTTGCCTGATCGATCTGGTTGCTGATGTGGAGTTACCTCCTGTAGTCGCCGTAGGTTTCCTGGGGGTCGTCGACGTGGCTACTGAGCACAACCAGACACGGCGGGAGAGGTTAGTTAAAAATCTAAGGTATTATAGCAAAAAAAATATGGTATGGAAAAGGAGATAGAAGAGGCATACTTGATTGAAACTTTGAGGCATGAGCAGCTGGCTTCTGCAATGACAAACGAGATACTCTCGTTTGTGCCACCTTTGGAGATGGCTTGGGGAGCTTATATGTAACACCACGCCTACGAAACCCAACCAGCAAAACTCATCAGCTGTTCGATTGTAGCTAATAGCAAAAGCAAATGATGGCCATCAAAATGTACGTACAAGTATAGAGCACCTCACTCACCTTTCAGTATTACTATAATTCTCTGGTTGTCTCATCCCTGCAGCTGGAGTAGATCTTGCAGCTTGAGCTGCATTACCAGAGAGTCTGGTGGTGGTTTCTACCGAATTCGCAATTCTAGACGGGCTTGTTGCTTCAGCTTGAGCTGCATTACCAGAAGAACCATCAGTGTCAGTTCCCATTGAGAGCCCGCCTTCCGATATGTCACTTATTCTCTCATCCGAATCTCCACTTCCTCCAAAACCGAAGAGCTCGACATCTTCATTGGAATTCTGGCCCGCCTTTGCTTCAGTAAACTTGGTTGGTAAACCGGTCATTGGCCTTCGATGTGCTGCCAAAGGTCCCCTATGTCCATGTTTTAACTCATCTATTGAAGGCGGCAGTGATCGCACATCAGAAAGCTTTTCACCAAACTCGGAGTATATGTCGATTTCCCTATCAGAGAGTGGTGAGGTTTTCCTTCCCGGTGACTTGGGACTGAGCCGAATATTTCCCCCAACTGAGAATCTTCTTGGAGAGGAATCAAAACGGACAGACTTTGGGCCATTGGTGTTAATCTTGAGCTGCTGCAATTTCTCAATCACATCGTCTTTCTTTGCAACGGTTTCTTTTAGCAACGCAACCTACAACATTGATTTCAAGAGAAAAGGTAAACACTCTTATGAACTTACGTTGTTGCACATGGTTTCAGCAAGAGTTGGGAGATAAGGAACCTGATCCGCAAGTTCTCTAATGTCTCTTCCCTCCTTGTTGCTCCTTGCAGCCCCCAACTCAACTCCAGAAACTCTCTCAGCAAACTTCAACGTGCTCAAAGTTTCGGAATATGAATCAAGATCGGGATTCAGCTGCACAAACATAAGGGTCTTGGCTTGACCACCTGAAAATGCGAAAGTATGAAAAAAGGTCATTAACCAGGTATACGGAAACAAATTTTCCATTTGCCGGAGAAGAACAATTCAATGAAAAGTTGGGCAAGACAAAATATTGCCTAGAGAACTCTGAAGAACTTGAGTAAGTTTGCTGTTTCTATATGGGACATGTTGACTTTTTTGTGCAAGGGCAAATATGACATCCCCAAGTGCAGAGAGGGACTTGTTTATGTGTTGTGCCTCCCTAAGTCTCTCGCCAGTTACTTCAGACCGATCAACCCTTTCACTGCCAGCAAGATCTACCAAGTGTAGATTCCCTCGCAAGATTGTGCCAGACTCCAAATCCACGCCACGGACATGGATAGTGAGTATGCTGCAGAGAGATAGATGATGAGGAACTTCTCAACAATAAATTTCATGAGCATCATTAAATATAATTATGCTATTAAGAGAGAGAAAACCTGTGTGATCTGCTACTTCTTTCATTCAAGGCAGTGGCACCAACAGCACGGTTCATGAACCCGATATTCATCAACTCCAAGACATCTTCGGTCGAGGTTACTTGATGCATGCTGGCATCAGGAACTGCTAACCCATTTGGTTGGGTTGTGCTCCAAATCCCAAGCGTGTGGAAGTCAAAGAAAACATTTGATACAATTTGAATGTGTTTCATTATAACAGAACATTCAAAAAAGGCCATCGTGTAAGAGTTGGAAGATAGCCATGAAGCTGAAATCTAACAAAAAAGGATATCTTTTATGAGAACCATGGCACGTGAGAAGGTCACGGACTTGTTCATTATATATCTCCACCATTTGAACACCAATCTCATATGTCATAGAGCCTTTCCTACTTTGAGCAATATGAAAAAGATCACGTAATGCTCGATAATTGACTCCCCAATCTTCTTCTTTAGATGACATATTAGGACCGCTCTGGAAACAAATCAGCAAAATAAGATATACGAAAACTTAGATTTTACATTGTCCACATTTGAGAAAGTAAATGTAAAAAAAAAAGGTGAAATATGAGTGATTAGCATACCATTGTATATGTCTTCCCTGATCCAGTTTGACCATACGCAAAAATACACACATTGAATCCATCAAGAACTGTTCTAATTAATGGCCGAGTATCCAAGAACACTTCCTCTGCAAACCAACACAATGTCAAGGAGTTTATGAGAATCGAAGATACTGATAATGCTTTGATCCCATAATCTCAATGAGGAAAAAGATTCTGACCTTGACTTGCAGCTTGACCAAAAACCTTGTTAAATTTGAACATCCTATGGGTATCTTTCCCTGGCTTTGTCGGATTTGAGACGAGTAATTCACCATTTTCACCAATATACTCTACGGTTGTTAGATTCTTACATTGCCCTGGAAGAAACGGCCTTACCCTACAATAAACTCTTATGTTTCCTGTGGAAAGACACATAAAACAAGCATCAACAACCATATGATTAGACGATAGCTTGATGGGCTTTAGGGTGAATACTTATTTTAAGAAGTTGGGTTGAGGAAGTCTATTCATTGTAACCTTCAAGTAAACAAACACACGTAGCACAAGGTGTTAGGGATATATGTACCTTTCAAGTCCTGCACTTCATTGTATAATTTTCGATTTTCCGCAAGAACAGAATGATAATTGTCAGCAGCATGCACTACTCCTTCAAGCTCCATACCTATCAGAACGGAAAGTAAATGTCTCATGAAAAAATATTTGGTGTCTACCAAAACATACCAGTTAAAAGAGACAAGATAACGAAACAATAAGCCCACCCAAGCCATAGAACTGCTCTGCATATCTCCTCTTTGTCATCCTCACTTCTTGTTTGACAGAGGCATAAGCTATTTTCAGTTCCTAACAGTACCAATACCAGGTATTAAGACAGTATATTTTGCAACAAATAGAAAAATGAAGTCAAGAGAAAAATTCTAAAAGCAAACCTGCAAAGCTCTCTGATGATTGTTGAGGAAAAGTCTGAAGGTCTCTTCTTTCTTCTTCCATCCCTCTGATTTAGATTCTGAAAAGGACTCGAGCTGTTTCACCCTCTTCTTTGACTCCATTAAATAGCGCTCAAGATCGTGTGCCTTCTTTTCCAATGCTTGATTTATTTCCTTAGCTTGGGTTTCTATCTGCAAACAATGCTCTTCATGTGTCCTCTTCAGTGTCTCCAGTTCGCGTTTCAATGCAAAATTCTCGATCCCTAATGAATTCTTTTCTTCATTCAAAGTAGCCAGATCTCGGCTTTTGAGCCTTTCCTTCTCTTCTATTTCAGTTTTCTCCATCTGCACGAAACAAGGGCAATGCATAAGCTGTTTCACTTGTTACTTACCAAAACAGATTGATTAAAATAGATTTCTAAGAACTGGTTACTGAGTCTAATTAACATGATAGTTCATTTCATAATGATCTGAACACTTTTAGCCTAACAGAAACAGCACATCTACTGATCTACAATTGAACTAGTGAGGCCCAGTTTTTTCAATGGAAGAGGTATGCCGGAAAGATCTTTACATGCACCACTCAGTTATCTGTAAGAAACATAAGGGGTCCAGATTTTCTTCTCTTTTACTGAAACAGCCATATATAAACGATATCACCATGAGAATGTCGGGCCATGGTAGTGCAGAATACTATAGCAGAACTTGGATACAGCTGAACAACAAAATACCATTTTGAAGGATGTGAGATTATCACTAAAGCAAAAGGATGTAGATAATAAGGTCAAACCTTTATCTGTTTTAGGTGTGAAAGCAAAACCTGTGTCAAGACAACAATAAACAAAAATATTTAGGCAACATTACCTTGGATAAGAAAAAAAAAACAGAAACAACCCTTTGCAGCAAATATACCTCAATTTCTTCTGTGCTCCCTGAAGCAAGGGTCTCTAATACTTTTATTCTAGACTGGTACTTTTCAGAGCGAACCCTACAAAGATTGTTGTGCTAGACAACACATAGAATCAGCATTGATTGCCAACGAAATTCCAAAGTGAAAGTATGTGCAGTAATATTTCAGAAAACAGAACGCATATACATTAACGTTTCAAAAGTAAAGGCATATGCAGCATGGTGCATGCACAAACACAAATGTTGATAAGAAAATAAGGGTTTCCAGGGGTATTACATCTTTCAAGTTCTCAGCTTGAGCAGACACTCTTTGTTCAATAATTTGCACGACTTGCTTCAACATCCTTGCCATCTGTGTTTCAAGAGGATTGAAATGATACTGGGATAAATACAAAAAAAATAATGCAGAAAGAGAATTGATGACAAAAATCCATGACAATGAAGTAGCTACCAATGATGAACATAAGAAGAAAAAACCATGAATATCTCACAACCATACATGATAAGCATGCCCGTCTTTTTTGTCAATGGTTTCATCAAGTATCTGGTTCAGAAAACTGAACAACATGTGGGTTGATTCATTCTGCCACAGAAAAGTTTAAAGCCACATGAGAGCAACATAAATCTTAGAATGAATACAGAAAAACAGGCCTAATTCAATACTGGGACACACTCAAAAGCCAAACAGGGAATAGTTAAGCAACTTACATCCACGCTACTTGAACTTATCAGCTTTGTAATGTTATCATCCGAAAGCTCACCAGATAAACCTTGCTTCAACACCTCGGAGAATTTGTTCCCGGCATCAGGTACCAGAGAAGGAGATGGCTCTAAAAGAGAAGCCACCACAAACAAAGACAAAGGATGATATTGTACATTATTAGCTTCATCTTCAAACATACAGACAAATTATCTCATATAGATAAATAAATAAATAGCAACAACAATGCACAACAACAAAGGATGTTCAGACGCGTACACACATGCTTTCAACCAAGAAAAAACATGGGAGTCAAAGGCTTGTCAAGACTCATAGGACGAAGTAAAAAAGATGGCACAACCACCAAGGTTGATTACATCCCCAATCCTGCCTCGATACAAGACTACATGGTTACAGAGAGAATCGGCTGTGACCTAGATGAAGCGATCAATATTTCCATATAATCAAATGCCAGTTTAATATAAGCAAAAAAGGAAATTACTAAATACATGTGTTTGAAGTGAAGTGGGTCAGGCTATGTACTAACTGCAAATGGTCAATAAAAAGCCGAGCTCCAGGATATTTCATCTAGTCCCCCAAATGAAGCCAAGACTTCACTTAAAAAATTCTAACATTAACACGACATGAAGCATAAAACGCCTTGATGAGCTAATCTCAACAAACTTCTAAAGATTTACGAAATATGGCATGCCCATGATTCCAACTCTGATGGGATTCAAGTTCAGCAATAGTGTCATATATCATATGAAAATGAGTCTCCTGAGTACCTGGTGAAACAGAAGTCAAATGACCATGTTGATCTGTGTCATTGCTGGGATTCTTATGCTTGTCTTCACCATTGACAGCTAAGTTATCCGAGTTAAATGATGAACCACGTTGAGAATGATCAGCTCTGTTTGAAAGCTCCACCTCATGTACATCCCCTCTTCTTCTTGAATGAATATCTGAATTTTTTAAATGCTCCTTAAGTGTCCCAAGGCACTGCAGTACAGGCAACATGTAACCCTGGAAATAGTGCTCATGAATTAGCAAAACCAATCCTATAATTTTAAGTTTTCTGGGATGTAACTTGCAATTCTACAAAATCCATTGTTAAGACTCTCTTTGTGCTTCTTCTCGTGTTTCTAGTTTCTGCTTCAAGTAGGAAGTCAGTTGCTGGTACATTTCATTACTCAACTACTAAACCAAATTTTACATATCTAGAGCGCTTGGTTTAGCAAGTTAATGCATCTTCCACGAGGAAAAAAAAGCACTAAGTTACTGATAAGAACAGCTCCGAACTCACTATCACCTTATGCCACATGATCAAGGTCGAAGTGGCTCCGGCATGCTAACAAGTTCATCAAGCGAAACGTCCAAAAGCATATACAAGCAAGTCAGAAATCCAACACGAACAGCTCTGTTCAACTCCATAATGGTAAATCTCTATACCTGTTGTATGTCTTCAAGTACAAACCTAAGAAGTCCCATTTCGTCCATTGCATCCAGAAACCTCTTGAGATAGTCCGCCCCAGGCCTGAAACTGGTTCTCTTTCGTAGTTTTGAAAGTGAAAAGGGAAATGCTAGTTGTTCAGACCCAGAAAGTACGTTAGACATAGTTGTAAGGGGAAAAGCGCAGACACAACATTACCATGTCAATCAAACCAGGTCTTAGTTTGTTCAGGATGCTGCACAAGACAGTGCCATCAATCAAACAGTCTCTCAGCTCCTCCTCGGTTGCCTCTGGCGGTAAATCCAAATAGGGAAACAGATTGTTCAACCACTCAACCAGTGACTTCACGCTACCTGAGCCCAAACCAGGATTTTCAGAAACTCAGTTCTTCTCCAAACAAGTGACCAAATTTAAACCACCACTGTACAGAAGATGTTTAGTGGTTCATTGTTCTTACCATAACCATTATCTTCAAACTTTGGTTCTCTTGGACGTGCTACACTTCCAAATCTGGCATATATTCCCATCTCATTTCTGTTCCTTTGAGGTTGAACGTTCATCTTCCCCCACACCGGTCTTCTTTCGTCTTCACAAGTTATAGTGAAACAATGCTACAAGTAGAAACCAGAAATCCATTAGCTGACAATTAGAAGTTCAAATCTTCCACGAACACACTGCCTCCCTTCTACCTTGAAGACATGAAACCAATCCATAATTACTAGAAACGATTAATTCCATTAACGCACAACCTCAATTAAAAGGAAAGGAAACAAATTGACCAAATTTAAAACCGGAACAATTCACCCCAACAAACGAGCCAAATCAGCCATTCATTTGAAGCAATTCTTCATTCCCAATCGTGCCTTATATTCATCCCACGTCACTCACCCCAATCGATCGAGCACGAAATCTGGCCAGCGGGTGGACAATTCAACTTCTCCCTAAGCAGCCTCCAACACTCCAACCTCCCTTCCTCTACCGCCTTTTGCTACCGATCCCCGTCAGCCCGTCCCTCCTTTTGCTACACGCTTTGTGTCCAGAAGCAGCAAAACCAAAGGAATACAAGAATACCCAGCAGCAGTCCCTCAATCCGCCGCTTTAAATAGCCGACGCTGTCCGAAACCCTAAACCCAGATGCAATAAATCGAAGAACGGCTGGCTCTTTCTCCGGCTTCGACGAATGGCGACCTCCAGCACGAAGTCGGCGATGGAATTGGATTCATATTTTAGGGTGACAGCGAGAGAGCCCTTTAAATGAACCGGTCGGATTGAAGGTCCCGGCAGCCGCCACAGCTAGCTCAGAGGAGAACGAGAGAGAAGGGAAGAAGAATGCGGTGAGACGGCTGAGAGATTGAGAACGCTAGGGTTTTCCTTTACATTTGAGAATGCTAAGAAAGTTTCTCTCAGAATTTCCGCCATTGCACCCAATCAGCAAAGAGGATAACGCCAACAAAACTCTCCTCCTCCCGCAGATCCGCATCAAACTCTAACTCTTCCAACTAGCAGCTTAAATGGGATAATAAATGGGGAAATGCAGATGCGAGCATAAAAATGGCGAACGAACCTACCGAGTGCGAAGATCAAAAGAAGACGAGGATGAGCAAGGCAGATCCCGAAGAAGAATCACAAGCAGCCTCCATTCTGTGTTCTCGCAATGGCGGAAACGAAGCTCCGATTCTGATCCCCCCAACGAAACGTACACAGGAACAGGAACAGGACCAGAAAGAGAGACAGAGAGAAGAAGAAGCAGCTCCTTTAACTTTCCCCCTTCTCTATCTTCCCTCCTTTCTGCCTCTACGTTATTATTTCTTATTTCTTTCCCCCGGGTTTTCTTTTCTTTTTTCTCTCTGAAACCAGAGAGAAAAAAGAAAAGAAAATTATAGAAATTTGGGAGAGGAGAAGAGGAAGTAAAAAATGGCCTGCAACCTCTGTTCTTCTCCTTGTTTGGCTTTTTTGCTTTTTTAGCTTTTATTCGTTTTGTTTGCGCTTTGTTTTTCCGTTTTTTTATTTATTTTACATAAATAACGGAGGGATTTAAATTTGAAATGGTAAGGGGAAATCTGAAATTAGCAAAGGAGCTGTGGGCCCCACTCCGCTAATTTTGGATGGAGTTCCCGCCTTGCACTCCATTGTCGTTTTGCTCGATTTAACACTTTTATTTTCCCTTTGTTTTTGTTGAAATTGCTGAATATCTCCATATGGGGGATTGCGGTAGTGCCGTTGTGGTGGTTGTGCGAGAACAAACAACTAGCATGTGCTTAATTTCTGGGGATAATAGGCTATTTTGGTCTCGATTTTGTTGTAATTGACAATTTTGGTTTGAACTTAAGACAACTTAGTTCGATTTCGAAAGACATGGATAAATTTGTTCGAAATTTGTGTTGGTCATTAATATTGATGGTCAAACATTTGTTTCGTTTATAACTCAACATACGATGTTGAGATGGCTGCAGCGTGGCTTCCACATCATAGGTATTATGCCATATTTTTTACCTGATCTTGAAAGATAATTTTGGCACGTACTTTTTTTTCGTTGAATCAGATTCTTTCGTATTGATGAAGTGAAAAAAGCCAATACAACGAGAAGAGCCAAACGCTCAAAATGGTCCCTCACAAATCAACAAGGACCGCCCGCCTATACAATACTACTTTTAATGTTAAAAAACCTGCAAATGTAAACTGTCTAAAGGTATCCTATCGTCTCCAGCTCCTTGCGCATCACCACATTTCCTGCCACCAGAAAGCATAACTCAGCTTTGATTAGAGAAGCAACATCCTCAGGGTCACTACTATTTTTTCCATGCACCAGCAGACAGCGTTCTTTCCAAATAAATGCTAGCAGCATGCACCAAATCGTCCCATGCCAACTTCCAGAAGTACCTTGGCTAGCTATAACACAAACCTCAGATAGCATTGAGTCCCAATCCAAAAAATTCAAGAGTTTGCACCGCAGAGTAACTGCAACTCTGCGCGTGAACATACACTGCAGAAATAAATGCTCTCTAGTCTCAACTGCAGACCCACATAGAACACAGGAAGAATCAGTAATTTTCCCCCACTGCTGCAGTTTTGTCTTAGTCACAATGGCATGCTTAACAATAAGCCAAGCAATTAGACTATAGCGCGGAGGACATGGTGTGCCCTAGATAAGTCTATACCACTGGACCTCTTGATGTCTACTATGAAGTGAATCCCACACAGTTTTGACTGAGAATGTGTGCATCAGGCGAGATCCCCAGAAGACTCCTTCAGCTCCTCTATGTAGCCAGGGACTGACAGTGTGTCTCAGTTTTAGCAGCTTCCTCCAAGTCCAAGAACTACTAAACTGGGGCTTCATCGACCAAAGATCCCTCTGCTTACACTTATATTCACGCATCCAGGCCACCCAGAGAGTACCTGAGTTAAGGAGGAACAACCAAAGCATTCGCACAGTACAAGCCTGATTCCAGGCCAAAAGATCCTTTACCCCCAGACCACCTTCCCTCTTTGGAAGGGCAATTTTATCTCAGGCCACCTTTGCACGACCTTCATCAGTGCCATGCCATAAAAACTGAGAGCAAAGTTTCTGCACCCTCTTGAGAACCAGCTTGGGCAAGACAAAAATCTGCATCCAGTATTGAACAATCCCCAATAAAACAAAATTAAGCAACTGCAATCTTCCAGCATATGTAAGCTTCTTAGCACGCCATGATCGAATTCTTTTAGTTATTTTATCAACTAGAATATCCACTTCTTTTGAAGATAACTTCCCTGTGAGTAGAGGCAAACCCAAGTACCTCACTAGCAAGGAACCCTCCTGTGAACTCCGAGAGAGACAAAGCAGTATTCTTAAACATAACAGACTCCCCTCCAAAATATATTTCACATTTTAAAGGGTTGCATTTAAGGCCTGAGATACTGTAAAATGCTTCCAAAACATATTTGACTTGAAGAATGGCTTGGGCAAATCCAGAAGTAAACACAAGGATATCATCCGCAAAACATAGATGATTCAATCCTATTCTTTTGCACTGGGGATGATAGGGAATTCTACCTGCTTGACTAGCCCGCAACAGTAATGTGGAGAGACCCTCCATGGCAATAGTAAAAAGGTATGGGGATAGAGGATCACCCTGCCTCACTCCTTTTCGAGCTCTAAAAAATCCACACAAACTCCCATTCACATTAATACTGTAATGAGCTGTCTGCACACAACACTTGATCCAATTAAGAAATCTTTCTGGATATCCCATAGCCGCCATCATTAGGAAAAGGTAATTCCAGTTAACAGAATCAAAGGCTTTCATGACATCTATCTTTATAGCACATCTAGATGATAGTCCAGACCTATGATAGCCACTAACCAATTCTTGAGCTAAGAGAATGTTATCCATAATACTTCGACCCTTAATGAAAGCAGACTGTGTAGGGTTAATAATCAAAGGGAGAACCTCCCTAATCCTGTTTGATAGAATTTTTGCTATAATCTTATATAGGAGGTTCACACAGGAAATAGGTCTGAAGTTCTTAAGGTGCTCCTCTTTGAAAAAGTCCAGTACTCCTCTAGTAACATCTGCACCAATAATATGCCAAGTCTTCTTATAGAAATCTGCAGAGAAACCATCAGGGCCAGGGGCCCTTTGAGAGTTCATTCCAAAAACAACACTTCTGACTTCTTCAACAGTGATAGGCTGTACCAAGGCATCTTTGTCAGCTTCAGGAATCTGCACTCTGACCAGAGCTTCCACCTTCTCTCGGGCAGGGGAAATTTCTGCATTGGCTTCCCCTAATAGTTTCTTGTAAAAAGTGACCACCTCCTCTACAATCTGCTCTTACTGAGTTAAAGGAATTCCCGCATCATTTACTAGCTTCTGAATTGCCTTTTTAGAATTTTGAATTCTTACTGTTTGGTGGAAGAAACCAGAACTTTTATCCCCTCAATTGAGCCATGAAATGCGTGATTTTTGCCATAAAAAACTCTCATAAGCAGCTGATATCAGCTCATACTTCTCCTCCATCAAATGCACTTCAGTAAAATGTTCCACAGTGGGGTCCGAATAGGCCAGCAATTGTACTTGCTTCAGATCATTCTCAGCATCCCTTACCTGATCCTGAAGCTCACCGTATACTTCCTGATTGAATTACTTCAAAGCTTTCTTTACTTCCTTTAGCCTACCCTGAACCACCTGCAAGGGAGACCCTCTAACTTCTTTTTTCTAAGCATTCTCAACTGTTGGCAGGAATAATGGGTGCTCCGCCCAAAATTCAAAGTATTTGAACGGTTTAGGCATCGATTTGATTGGTGCTTCTGTGCATACTTGGATACCACAATGATCTGAGAAAGGAGCAGGAAGAGCTTCCATAGAACAGTCTTTAAAAATCTCCACCCATTTCATATTCACGAGAGCCCTATCCAATCTTTTTGCGATAGGATTATTTTGCTTCCTGTTTGTCCACGTGAACTGAGGCCCCGTGGTTCTATAATCTAACAACTCCATCTTATCTATCCACTCATTAAAGTCAATCATACTAGCAGTGACACTTCTAACATTTGAAGTTTCTTCAAGGGCACGAACAGCATTGAAATCACCCCCAACTAGCCATGGACAGTCCCCAACTTGAAATCTCCCAATTTCAGCATATGTCTGCTTCCTCTCTGCCTCGTCATTTGCAGCATAAACTGCTGTTAAAAAGAACCTCTCATTATTGTATCCTTCCACTACTGAATGAACAAAGTTCTTCCCTGGCTGCAAGACTGTAAGATTAATGTCTGGATTCCAGAACAACCAAACCCGCCCAAGATTTGAATCCTTACAATTCAAACATTTCTTCCACCCCTCAAATACTGCCTCCACTGATTCCTCAGCTTTATTCGCTTGTATTCTAGTTTCTAGTACCGCTACTACATCTACTTTATTCCTACACAGGATCCGCAGCAAATCTCGCTGCTTGGAGGTTCTATTGAACCCCCTCACATTCCAAAATAAAACAATCATTTGGAAGTAGAGGGTTTAACCCCTCCCCCTCCTCCTCCACCCTTCTTACTTTCCTTCTTAGAATCCTTCTTCTTTGGAGCGCCCTGCAGCTTAGCTGGCTCTTCATCTAGTTTACTCAGCACAATAAAAGGAGATGCAGAAACCTGAAATCCCGGCGGGCATTGCGGCGACCAAACTCGAGGCTTAGCACCATGGACCACTCGTTGAAATTCTGTTTCCGATGGCAGCTTAGGAGATGAAGACCCAACAACTTCACAAAAGGATTTCTCAAGATTCTGAGAGAGAGCTTTTATAGATGCCTCTTTCTACGAGTAGCAAGATTACCAACCAAAAACTTAATTGAGGATCCTCTTCAAATACCACAATTTCCTTACCTTTATCCCTAACCCCAGTATCCACCTGCGTAGCTTGCTTTTCATCTTGCAGCTTCAGAGGTGGTGCAGAGCTCTGCTGCTGAGCAGGCTTTGTCACCCACTTCTGATTATGTCCAGCACAATCCCCCTTAGTTCCAAATAAATGACATACATGACATATAGGAGGTAGATTACAGTAGACAACACCAATTCGCAGCGAAGACTCATCATCCGGCCACAACAATACATGATTAGGAAATGCACTATCAACAGTTAATTCGATCAAAACCTTTGCAAACCCATGACGATCACCCATACACGTAGTATGATCAACTCCCAATGGAACACCAATCCAACTAGCAATACGACTAAGACCTTGATAATCATTATACTCAAGCGGGACATTAGACAGAGGAACCCAGATTGGCAAAGCCTTCCGCCCCAGATCCTCAACACTAATACCGGGAACCCATGGCCTCAGATATAGTAGGTTATTGTAGTAAAACCAGGGCCCATTCTCAAGAATCCACTCACATACCTTCTGATTAGGCAACTGAATCAAGAGCATCTTACAATAGAGGAAGGAGACCCTTACCAGACCATCTCGCCCCCAGAGCTTATTTAACCACCGACGAAGAACATAAAGCGAAGGAGGATCCTGGA